CCCCAAAACCCCAAAACCCCAAAACCCCTTTTGGTACTTCCTAAATTGTATTAGCTATTCTGAAAATTGAGGTAATGATTTTGATGATGAGTATTTTTATTCAAGCTGGTTTGGTTAGGAGATATCAATTTATTGATGGCAAGAATTTTAGGTAGCTTGGCTAATCAGCGCTAATTTTAGACACATTGGTTAATTTACTCTAGAGATAATGAAAACCAATATTGACTGCTTATGCTTATTTCAAATCCATTCATTAATTTCAGATAAATTATGTGTTATATTTTGTGATTCTGAGAGCCCTAGACTTGTCCAGGTCTTCTCTGTTAAGATAATCCAATTTATTCAACAGTTCATCTCCTTTCTGATACTATATGCAGCTTAGATGGTCTAAAATCATAAGTCAAGCCAGTCTGCGACTAAATGACTCTTCCAACTTACTCTAATTCTGTGAAACCTGATGAGTTGGTTCTTGAGGTTAACTACAGTATCCTCACCCAGTCTGGTCTCTTCAGATTCTTTGTTCCTTACACAGAAGTTTCCGTGCACTGCTCTTGCTGAAGTATCTTCTTCTAACTGAAAAGGGTTCTCTCTGCTTGATTCTTGAGATTTATTGTAAAACATTTTGTTAAAGTTATCTATACAAGAATCAGCTAACAGGTAACTGAAGTAGTTTGATATTAATCTACTGCGTTTCGAGCACAACTGTATGGAAGAAGTTTTAACTCACGTAACAGTCAATATAATCATTCCTTCGCTCTTACCTTTTTGAGGAGTTTCCTTAGATTTACTCTTAAGAGCTGACCTTGACAATGCACTTGAAGGAATCTGGTTCGAGGTCTTCCGACTAGTCGCTGTATAGCTATCCAAGGTAGCTTTGGTCCTACGAGGGTTATACTTCCTCTCAATGTTAAGGCTAGCTTTTTCAGGAGAATTTATTTTTGAGGTTTTTGAGTAGAAACCTTTCGGAGAGTCCCGGCTTTCTAGAGGTGAGAGAGAGTGATTACGAGATTTAGAGATTAGGTTATTGGATAGAAGCTTGTAATAGTTGATTTCACTTGAGTTATTTAGAGCAATTTGGTTTTAGCCAAGCCCTGGTTAGTCTTTGTCCTCGAGTTTTCGTTGAACCTACTGATGTTGGTCGGCTTTGTAACATAAGTTGCGGTCTTCCCTAAGGCTGATTCAGTGCTTTTGTTGAATTTTCTCACTAAAGATAAGGAGCATTGCTACCTATTTCTGGTTTTTTTTCAGCTTCTTCTTGGTCTATTAATTACTTAGTGAGCTTACCTTTAGGATTTGTCTCGTAATCTAGAATGTTCATTGTTAACTCTTGGTTGTGCTTCATTATTCTGTTAAGCTGTGAACTCTTTTTAAGCAGGAAATTTAACTTATTATCTGTATAAAATTGGTCATCGGTCTTTTTAAGCCTTCCTGGACTACAGCTGCCGTGTATAGCAGCATTAAGTCTCTTGAGAGACATATTTACTTCGCTATTTGAGTGCTTTCGAACCATTTTGATAGGAAGAAAACACAATATAATCATCAGTGTTAATTTTAGGACTCATCGAGTGCTTGATAGCCTATATGATCATTTGGTCGTTGAAAGTACGATTTTTTTGTATCTACCGTTGGCTTCTTTTACAAGCCCATAAACAGCATGCTTTTGTCTTCTGGTTTCTACAATCAGTTAACATCATTTCAGAATTCCGAGAAGGCAATAGGCTTACTTGGCTTAGAAGAAAGCAACGAATCAGATCTCTTTCTCATGTCTTTGTCAACTTTGGATCTGTTAAGATAAATATTTTCATCTTCAGAATCGCTTTCTTCTTTGTTTAAGATTTTAAGTGTTCTTCTAGGTTTATTTGCCATAGAGGCAAGGATGTTTCTTAATTTTCATTGTATTTATGACCTTTTCGGTCCTCTTTTGCAACTTATTCGAGTGAGGAATCCTCTTTTTAACTGAATCAAGAACATAAAGTATATTGCTTAGCTTTCCAAATGGTACGAAAGGTTGATCTTTGGGCACGTTAATGCCTTGTTTTGCCTGCTCTTGTTTTTCTCTTGAACGTTTGATTTTATATTCATCTAAAACAGTATTAGTTTCCTTCTACCAACAAATACCCATTGTGGGCAGATTCCTTCAGATACTCTTTAAATCCTCAAAATTCTTCATTCACCCTTATTTTTTAAATAGGCAGTTACAAAGAATTTATAGAGAACCTATTGAAGCAGATATCTCTACAGGAAGCAGCCATATATTTAACATTAGAGAGGTGAAAGTCTCCCCGGTGAAGACTCAACATGCTTTATAGAATATGACACCTACCAATTGTATTGCTGATGCACCTAAACTGAGACTTATGAACGATCCTCCCTCTAGCCTTGTCCATAAAAATAAAATAAATTTACAACCTTATTTAATTATTCTGGGGTTTTGGGGTTTTGGGGTTTTGGGGTTTTGGGGTTTTGGGGTTTTGGGG